CGGCGGGAGGAGGATAAGCGCCCTGTTGTTGGTATGGGCTCTGGGCAGGTTGGTAGGGAGAGGGAGTGCCCTGAGGAGGATACTGCTGTTGCTGTTGAGGAACGAATTGGCCTTGGACAGGTTGTTGCTGGTATTGCTGTTGGGGGACACCCTGAGGTTGAACGGGCTGAACCATGGGTTGGCCTTCGTTGACCTTGGTCTCCATTTGGTAGTTGTTGCTGGGTGAAGATGAGGCAGCGAGGTTGACAGCGAAGCGACCTTCCTTGCGGCCGCGGAGGAACATGACGAGAGTCCAGACGAAGGTGACGATGAAGAGGATCCTAAAGAAAAGCGTTAGTCAACATTGTCCGTAATCCATGAGCTGAGACGACTTACCAGACAAGAGCACCAAGACCCGCGACGGCAGCGAGCATAGCCAAACCAGACTTGAAGAGAATAACATTCTCCCCATCACGCTTAAAAATGTTACAGGTCTTACTATCCGTGAGACTTCCATCATCAACGCAGCCATAAGCATTAACAGGAACGACGTATTTGGCACGCCTCGCAGCAGTGGCAGCCCAAGCGGCAAGCCAAAGAACCATCATTAATGCATCGAGACTTAGAACGGCGATGATGTGATATGCGTTTTGAAGACTGGGGATTTTCTCTGTGAAGAGGGCGTAGGCGATGACGATCCATGCGATGATTGCCTAGATGTGTCAGTGGTATTAAGATGAAGCGATGTGATGGAGGACGTACAATAGCGAGAGATAGAGCTTCTTCGTCGAGAGTAGCATCATGCATCAAACGGCCACAAAGACCAACAATGATAAGAGAAATGAGGAACTGAAAGCCACGAATTATGACAATCCAAAGCGGTGTCTGGAGAACATGGTTGCTCTCAACCTTCTCATGAGTCTGTTCCATGGTATAAGTGATAGTGTCAAGCCACGAGAAGCAGCCAAGAGATGTAAGGTGCTAGTGTAAGGGCCAAGACGAGTGTTCGCTGGGGAGAATGATTTATGGCGCACCCTTTTTTTCTCTCCTGGGGGGAAACACAACAGCCTTATAGCTGGGCCTGGCTCCATTCACTTACAACAAGCCCAAGGCAGATTTCTAAGGACGAGGAACCCTTGCGGATGGCGTCGTTAGCGTCCTTCAGCCGCACCTCAGCTTGCCCATTCGGGATGCCTTGTTGGCGCCGTTGGGCTCTCTTGGGGTGGAGGGGGACAGGCCAGTGTTTCTAGTGTTCTGAAGAATTGTCCGAATATCGAGGCCATATATGCATCTTATTACGATGATCTCTGATATGTTTTACTGTTTATTTCTTGTTATCGAGAGTTGAGTCATCGTCGGCCGTTACGCGAGTGTAATGTCGAATGCCTTACTGAGTAGTGGTGGTTAAGTTTAATTGACAGCAAACGAAAACAGGGTCACGACGGTACCACCCTACTTAACATCCCTGCAGGGCATAAGGCAAGAAGAGTAAAACAGACAAATGCCGTTAAAGGCGGAGTGGCTTGTGGAAATTGAACTTGAGAAATCTGGGCAGTGCGACAAGCCACTTGAAGCTATTGCTCCTTAAAATACTCACTGAGGCGTTTCACTAGAAGCAACGGAGTTTCTAGCTCGATTGCTAAATGAAAATGCATTTATTGACGAGTGACAAGGCCCGAGTTAAGAGATTGAAGCTTGAGGAGAAGTGCGTCCCAGTTGAGCATGCTGCGCGAGATTTGGTTCGAGGTGCACATCCCTGTATGTATGAAGGATTTCGCTAAACAACCCATGCCGGTGTCGATCACATGGATAAGATCTGCCGACAAGCTTCTCACTCTCACTCTCACTACCAGGGCGTTTATGTCTTATCAAACAAGCCAGCTACTCGTAACGTGTTCAATAAAAGGTGAGATTTGTGCTCCTTTGGGAGATGTAAGACGGGTGAGGCTTGTCTTATTGGAGAGTCCTGATGGGAAAAACAGCTGAATGCGGAGAGTGGAGATGGCACATGGGCTGTGCTTGTTCAGCCGTTGGAACTAAGTTGTGGAGGGGCGGAATGGGGTGAGGTTTGGCAGGGAGAGTGCGGAATTGGAGGATGGTGGGAGATTGGAGAGGATACGCGGGAGCCACTGGAAGGGCGCATTCAGCAAGACTCAATTAATAATCTGGTCTTTGTGCCAGTAAAGTACGAGGGTAAGGCTGCCTTGGACGATAGAATTGGAAAGTGTCTGACAAATACGCCGCCAGTTGGCATCTCGTTACTCCATACATCAAGGGGCCCGCGGTTCTCCATGCATCTCATCCCAGACACACGCCTGCTACCCGTGGTCAATCTACAAGGGTCCAAGTGAAACAAATCACATCTATTAAGTGCCTTACAATGATGCTATAATGTAAAGGACTCATACCAAGTCCGCTCATGACAAAACGCCTTCACCCGCCGCCCCGCTTCATATGATCCAAGCCATCCCATGCCCGGATATCTTTTTCGCTTTTAGTTCTCATTCAAAGTCATTCATCTCGTCATCACCCTTTCCTTTACTGCTCGTTAGGTCCCTTGATCAGAACCTTGATCGCCTCTCCCTCCTTGACCTTCTTGAAAGCCTCCTCGGCCTGCTTGAACTCGACAACTCCAGTGATGAGCTTCTTGACATCGACCTTTCCGGTAGCGACAAGCTCAACGGCGAGAGGGTAATCACCAGCACCGTAGCGGAATGATCCACTGGCTGTAGCCTCCTTGATGCAGAATGCCATGATGGGGAAGGTAATGTCGGCCTTGCCCATACCGCCCTGTACGTAGCTACCGCCGTTCTTGAGGACGTGGATAGATGCTTGGATTGAGGGCTCAGCACCGCTGGCATCAATGACGACGTCAGCGCCTTCGGGGAGATCAGCAAGCTCGCAGATGTTCTTGGCGTTCTCCTCGGGCGCAATGCGCTGAGATGCGTAGACGTGGGTGGAGGCAAAGTCCTTGGCGAAGTCGAGCTTGCTCTGGACAATATCGACACTGACGATCTTGGAGGCGCCGTAGGCCTTTGCGACAGCGGCGCAGAGAAGACCAACGGGTCCAGCGCCCATGACAACGACAGAGTCACCGGGCTTGACGCGGGCCTGCTTGACGATGTGCACAGCGACAGCGAGAGGCTCAATCAGCGCACCCTCCTGCTGCGAAACATTATCAGGAAGCTTGAAGCAGAAATCCGCAGGGGCAGTCCAGTAGCCGGTCAGAGTTCCATGGTAGGGTGGTGTAGCGGCAAACACCATATCCGGGCAGAGGTTATACTTTCCGGCGAGACAGTTCTGGCATCGTCGGCAGGGGTAGCCGGGCTCGAGAGCGACGCGGTCGCCGACCTTGAGGGTCTTGACCTTGGAGCCGACCTCAACGATTGTGCCGGCGGACTCGTGGCCTAGAACCATGGGGTCCTCGACGACGAACTTGCCGATGGAACCGTGGACCCAGTAGTGCACGTCGGAGCCGCAGATGCCGGTGTAGTTGACGGCGACGAGGACATCGTGGGGGCTTGAGAGGGTTGGCTTGGGGCGCTCCTCGAAGGAGACGTCGTTGGGCTTGTTGAGGACGAAGGAGAGGTTCTGGGGGGTGTTAGTGAGACGTCATGAGGGGCCATGATGGCGGGGTATGATGTGAGGGAGGCGATGAGCTGGGGAAGACGTACGCTGGCCATTGTTGCTGTTGTTTAGCGAGTAATTGAGAGAAATTGAGAGATGAGAGAAGAGGAGGAGAGGAGAGGAATTGAATCGCGTGTCGTGGGAGGATTAAGTAGGTTCGTCGCTCGTAGCTCAAAGTGGGATGTCCTGTCTTATATGGATCACAGTGGAGTTCACCAACACCGTCACTATCACCAAGCGCAATTGCAGAAATAGCCTGAACAACTAATCTCTGTACAATAAGGAAAAAAAATTCAGATCATGGCCAGAATCTGCTGATGAGGGCAGCGGCTCATATACCCCAACCTCATCACATGGTCCCTCTCTCCCTCCCATCAAACACAGTAGCTAAATACCCGTTGAGTTGACATGATGGTTACACCCCCACGGTTTTTACCCTCGCCAATCAAGAAGCCATGATATCGAGACCACAAGACCCGACAGGATTTCTCTAAATATGGGGTGTGGCTGTCATGACGGGAGCGCTTGAGGTTCTGGTGCTGAGGATGAGGGCACTTTAGCCAGAGCATTTAACCGCGCGAATGAGAAGAGTGGAAACGGTGGAGTGGGATCCGTCGGTGAGAATTAGACCGGGAAAGCTCCAAGGCTATTTCATAGCTGTGAAGCTAGAGATCAGTGGATATTGGCATGGCATTGTTGGATGATCAGTCAAGAAAGAAGGGTCGCAGTTCTCAGATCATCGACTCAGATCATGATATGGCTTCTACCGGCTCATTCCCGCTCAAGACAACGCAGGCTTCCGGACATGCATCCGGAGCATGAAGCAGTTACTTGACCATCGTTCTCACTTTCAACAATTCATTAGCGCGGTAGGTGTTTGGCTTGATGATCCGGCGGAACCTGTGTTCCTGCGTCAACTCTTCAATCAGAATTCCGCTGCCGGCGCGGAGCTGCGGCTTTTGGAATAGCGTCCGGGTGGTGGATCCGGCCCGGAGCGGGGAGTCTCGGCGATGTGCGATGGGCACGATTAGCCGGTCCCCGCTGTGTGAGTGAGTATGGGAAACCGTCAAGAATAAGTAGCCGGAGTAGAATTGACTTAGGTTCTTCGGTTCCGTCACATTGCGTTGCGGACCTCAACGGCATTTAGGTCCAGGGACTCGGCAATCGCAAAACCTGCTGCCTGTAATGGGTGACATGGTTAAGAGGGCTCGCATGGAAGCTGTATCTCTTCACGACTGCTCAGAATTAACCATCATCACATAAACATCACATATGTCATCCTTAACATTAAGTGTTAATGTTAACTGGTTTATTACCACCGCTACCGTGCTATCATACAACAGTCTCATCTATTAAAAGTATCCAACGTCAACCACTCCTTCATCCCCATCCATTCAGTTGAGGTTATAGTGCTCCTCCTGGTGGCTCACAGAAGAGTGTCGCTTAGTCGTGCTCTCATGAGGATAGTCATGCTCAATGATAGGCTCTCCAAGGTGCTCCTTAAGGGCAGAGGGGGGAGCACGAGCAGCGTCGAGAGTGGCGCCTGGAGACTTGTGCATATCATTCTGGTAAGATGTGTTTCTTAAGTGGATGTCAGTATATAATACTATTGTATGTGCAAAGGGTAAACTTACGAAGGCTTTGACTGGGATGAGGGAACACCGGGGACGTTCTCTACCAAGGAGTTGATCCTGTCTCCTGTGCGGACACCCTCGGTCTGCTGGTTCTGGTTGCTTGTTGAATCAAGGGGAGAAACGTGGGAGCTGGAACCAAGTTCTCGTTGGTTGTTCTGACTGGTGTTGTTGAAAGTGTTGTTGAAAGACTCGGCGTTATTTGAGCCGGTATTGTACGTCTCTTGGAGAGAACCAGAGTTGTGAGACTCTTGGTGAGAGCCAGCGTTACTGTTCTCAGTGTTGGAGGGGATCAGTGTCTCCTTGATCTTGTTCATGAGGTCTGCCATTTTGGTCGAAAATTGAGTGTAAAGTAGTCTTGGAAGTCAAGTGAAGTGAAGCTTTGAAGGATAATGATGGTTCCGATAGCAAGACTTCAGTCACAGACCCGTCTCTTATATACATCTCATCTTCGCCTCTTACACCCATCTCCTCACCACTTCCATCATTCTTCCCTAATCAATCACCGCCATAAAACCCTCTCATTCGACAGCTCGGCTGCTGCGTCATGTCGAAATCGTCATGACGTCGAGTGATCGGCAGCGGCTCCATCACAGCGCGATAAGCATATTCCAAACCCTAAAATTAGCGCTCCATTCTCTTGGTTTTTGTTCCTGGGGCTATGTTTGATAACCCGGGTGACATTGGCCAAGCCTTTTTGGTTGTGCTAAAAACCCTGGTTCGGAAGACATCATGCGTGGGGCTAGAATCTTCCGCGGATGCATCGCCAAGATGAGCGGCCTTTATGAGGGGAATGAGAGGGATTTTGAGGTTGGCGATTACGTAGATGGGATTATTGTTCCTCGGAAGTGAGAAGCTTATTCGGGCGTGGAAGGGATACCACGTAAGCTCAGGTACAGATCACGGATTGAGATGGATGGTCGAAGTGGTTACCTGGCAGTCACATGTGATGGCGCAATCATCAAGGCGACTAATCAGCGATCTCAGTTCAACAGCATCGCTTGCATACTCTGTCACAAGTTCATCATCTCTTATACACCATCCAGTATCCAGCTCCCAAAGCAGCAACCGCACCAGCCCACGGCATAACAACCACCATAGCAGCAACAAGATTGCTCTTAGCCTTCTCTTTCACAATTCTCCGTAGTTCCGCTGCCTCATTCACCCAGGGAAACTCCTTCTCCGGCACAGGCTTATCCAGAAACTCACAAATGGGCTCCCAGCCTTGGCCCATGCAATATTCGAGTAGTTGTCCCTCGGGCACCATCTCTCGAATAACACGATGATGACGATCATATGTTTCTCTTGCGTTCTTACGAGCTTCTTCAACTGTATTAGCTTGGAAAAGTCCTAGCATTTGCTTTCGCGCCGCTGGGCCTGCTCTAGACCCAAGGAGCGGCTCGACGAATTTGATGGAGAACTCGGCGATTGGGTTCCAGAGTTGTTTGAGGACACTATCGTCAACGCTCTTGAACCAAGGGTCGAAATCTCGAATTACAAGGATGACTTTGGCATCGGGGTACGTCTCAATGAGCCGCGGGGCGTAGATGGACGCTACATCGGTAGTGGCTTCACATTCTCCCCAGATCTCATCCCACTGTTCACGAGTGAATGGTTTTCCAGTGTACGTGAAAAGATTCGGGAATGAAGCGTCTGTTGCGCGCTCGAGATTCTTCCAGGCTTCTTTGTCGTCGAGGATTTTGAGGCCGTGGAACACGTCTTTGTAGCCGAGAACAGTGAGAGCCTCTGCCATGGATGCTGTGCCTGTGCGAGGGAGGCCGAGACAGAGGACTTTCATGTCTCGCTTTGGCTTGGGGGTTGTTGTGTTTGACATTTTGAGTGATTGAGAGCTGTTAAAAGGTTTGAGTTTTGGGGGGCTTTGGCTTGAAGATATTGATCTTCAGACCGCAAAATAAGCCACGCTCAAGTGCTTACCACGCGTCACGCTAACGCACCAGCGTAGGATTTCACAGTTGAAGGCTCAGGTTCGAAATTACTGTGAAACGCGACTTTAACGGTCAGTCCAATTATATCTCAACTCAATTTGATCCAATGGACAGCTTCGAGATTGGTGATACATTTGTTAGTGGCTGAGGCTCATCTCCCTTGTCCCTTCCAGCATCCAGGACAAAATGTCCCTAATGTTCCTCACAGAGAACACAATCACTTTGAACATTAGATAAGTGAGCCACTCAGAAATTAATTGATTCATGATTTTAACATTTGACTTCATTAAAGAACTATCTCCGCTTATGCATAGGTATTCTCAAGAGATCCGGAATATCCTTCCATGATCCTCTTCATCCTCCTCTCATTACAGCCAACGGCGTCCTCTGTGGTTCATTTTAGGGTTTCCTCTGGTAGCGAGCTCATATCTCATGTCTACGGCTCGGTCATTTCCTCCTCATCCACCATTTTCTTAAACCCTTCCACGTTTTATAACTCCGTTGTTTTCACCGTTCTGAGTTTTGGGCTATCTACCTCTTCATCGGCAGAATTATAGCAAAGAACCTTTTTCCCTTGACTAGGAAATTCGTTCACGCCTTCTTCTCGGCGTTGTTGCGTTGAGCGGCAGCTTGTGCGTCAACCTTCTCAGAGTCGTGACGCACGCTGGCTTCGCTGGAGTCGGGGGTGAGATACTCGCCGAATGTGCGCTGCTCAAGGTCCATGTCCTTCCACTCGACGCCCTGGTTCTTGCGGGCTTGTCGGCGGAAGTACACTCGCTTGGCGAACTTCCAGGCCTCGATTCCGCCGAAGAAGAGACCGGCGGCGATGAAGACGATGGCCCACTCCCAAGTGATGCCCTTGTGCTTGAAGACGGTGTCGCTGATGACGGGGATGTACTGGATGGGGAAGAGGGTGACGAAGCCGAGCATGATGGCCCAGAAGAGGAACTGGTTGCGCCAGACATCGTGCATCCACTGGGTGAAGTAGAGCTTGGAGCCGGGCTGCATGCGGAAGAAAGATCGTCGCTTGTCAATCATCTCCCAGGCGAGGAAGAGGGAGAACCATGTGAGACAAGCAAAGGTGGTAGCACGGGCCTTGAAGACCGTCTCACAGCTGTCGCTGTAGTTATCGTTGCAGTCCTCACCGAGCTCGCCGTTACCGAAGGCATACAGACGAAGGACGAAGGCGCTGAGGCACAGAGCAGCGATCCAAAGACCGTAGACACACATATCGACGATGAACTCGAGAGAGAAAACACCAGTCTTGAGAGAAATCGGGGGTCGGCGAAGAATACCAGCGACAGCGCGCTCGAAACCGAGACCCATGTCGGGAAGACCAGAAGTCATCATGATGATCCACATGATCTGGACGGGAGCGATAGGGAAGACGGAGAGACCAGTCTTGTCCTTGAAGACAAGACCCACGAGAAGGACGACAGCTTGGGCGACGTTGGTGGCGAGCACGTGGAGGATGAACTTCTGGATGTTGTCAAAGATACGGCGACCTTCCTCGATGGCGGCGACAATGGAGGCGAAGTTATCGTCGCTGAGAACAATATCGGATGCATCCTTTGCGACGTCGGAACCGGCTTGACCCATGGCAATACCAACATCGGCACGGCGGAGAGAGGGAGAATCGTTAACACCATCACCAGTCTGTCAAGTTAGCATGAGACATCAAGAAAATAGACGAAGGGAAGAACATACCATAGCGCAGAACTTGTCTCGGCGGTGCAGGGCTTCAATCATGCGGACCTTGGTTTGAGGAGCACATCGGGCAATGACAAGAGGGAGGAAAGGAAGCTGGTCGACTTCATCATCGGTAAGACCATCGAAAGTAGTAGCAGTCATGACCATGGTAGCAGCAGTGTCCTCGGCGACGAGATCCATACGGGTAGGCAGGATACCGACCTCAATGGCGATGGCCTTGGCAGTCTCGGGGTGATCACCAGTAAGCATGTGGACGGAAATACCAGCCTGGTGGCACTCTCGGACAGCGGGAGCAGACTCAGGACGGGGAGGATCATAAAGACCAACAAGACCACGGAAGACGAGATCACACTCAACAGTGGTGCGGTCAATCTCATCACCCTTCTTCATGTCGACATTGTAAGGCTTGGAAGCAAGAGCGAGAACACGGAGACCCATTCCAGCAAAAGACTCCATGTTACGGAGGATCTGCTCACGGAACTCGTCGGTAATGGGGACTTGCTCCTCGTTATCCTCAGGGCAGTATGTAGCACAAGCACCAATCACACGCTCGACAGCACCCTTGGTGAAAGCAAAGAGTTGGCTGGTTCGGTTATCCTTCATGATGACAGACATGCGCTTGACATCAGAGTCGAATGGAAGCTCGGCGATCTCACTGTACTGGTTGGCAGCGTCGTGGCTGGTAAGACGGAGACGGTTCCAGTCGAAACGAGAGGCAAGGACCTGGATGGCAATCTCGGTAGGATCACCGCGGGCATGCCATTCACCGTTCTTCTCGTTGACGGTGGCAAGGTTGGCGAGAGAAGCAACTTCGAGGAACTTGACGAGAGAAGACTTGGACTGGTTGAGAAGCTCGCTGATGGGAGAAACAGAACCGCATTCATCACCGCCCTGCTTGAGGGGAAGCTCATGGGGCTGGCTGCGAGACCAGCGCATGTCACCAATGGTAGGGTTGAATGGCTCAGTGGTGTTCTCGATGAGATAAGTTCCCTTGCCAGGAGTCCAGGCTCCACGGGCAACCATCTTACCTTGGGTGAGAGTACCAGTCTTGTCAGAGCAAATATCGGTAACAGCACCAAGAGCCTCGAGGGACTTGAGGTTACGAACAATAACGTTTCGCTCGACCATGCGCTTAGTACCAGCAGCCATGGTGATAGTCAAGACGACGACCAAACTAGCGGGAATCATGGACAGACCAGTAGCAACGGCGTAGATAATAACCTGCTGGGAAGCATCGAAGTCGTTGGCAGCAAGGACGATAATGGCACAGATGACAGCAGTGCCAAAGAGGTAGATTGCCAGACGGGAGAGCTTCTTCTGGAGAGGTGTGCCCACGTTGACGCCGAGGAAACGGCCAACAGCGTCGGTGAAGGTGAGAGTGTAGGCTTCGAGATATCGGTGAGGCTTGGCGGAACCATCAGCCTTGCGCTTCACGGGACGGACCTTGCTGTCCTTCTTTCGGAGGGCAGCAGCGATAGCACCGATTTCAGTACTGGTGCCGGTAGCGAAGACGATACCCTTGGCACGACCCTTTGTGACGGTGGAAGAGCTGTAGGCGACGTTGATACGGTCACCAGGTCCGGTGCTGTCTTCAAAGACCTCATCCTCGTTCTTTCGAACGGGGAGAGACTCACCAGTCAACATGGCCTCATCAGTCTCAAAGTTAACGGCCTCGATAAGTCTGCACTAATTAGTAAAAAGCCCCAGTGTAAGTGCCAGGCATGGATTACTCACCGAATATCAGCAGGGATCGTATCTCCGGTCTTGATTTCCACAAGATCACCGGGAACGACCTCAACGGAGGGAACTACCTTGGAGTCTCCATCACGCACAACACTAGCAGTGGGAGAAGACATGGACCGCAGAGAGTCCATGGTCTTCTCAGCAGAGTACTCCTGGAAGAAACCGACGGTGACATTGAGACCAATGATGAAGGCGACGACACCACCCTCAATCCATGACTTGATACCGAAAGAAACAGCCATGGCAAGTATAAGCACCTTGGCAGACGTCAGTAATCATCAACATAGCGCCAACAGGGGTGTTCATGCGGTGTGAGCAGGTGGGTTGGGGGAAAAAACGACGGGCTGCCTAATCAGGTAATATGCAGTCGAGAGGCGAAAAAAATAAATAGTTCAGCCATCGAGATATGCTTAAACCATAAACTTTGGAGCGTGTGGGGGCTAATAAGGGAGGGGACTGGGCTGTTTTTGAACTCACCAGCGTCATAGCATTAGCGACCTGAGCGATGATGATCTTGAGGGGCTGAACACCATCAGCTTCGCCGAGATCGTTGTTGCCAAACTTCTCATGTCGTTGCTTGGCCTCGGCCTCGGTGAGACCGCTGAGGGTATCAGTCTTGAGCTCCTCGACGACCTGGTTGAACGTCAAGGCGTGAGCAGGACGGCTCATGGGCTCGTTGCTCTGGCCAGAGACATGGTTGTCGACGGAGTCGTCCTTCTTAGCCATGGTTGTAAGTCGAAAGCTAGCGGGTCGCCAGCGTGCTTGTTGTTGTTATATATATATCTTCGACTCGGTACTGGCTTAGAATGTATACATGAGTTGAAGAAAGACCCTTAAGCCTATGTCTGGGGATTCCTGTAAGATGATTTGCAGGAAGCCTTTCGTCTGGCGTCGGAAGGGTATGTCGGAGATCTAAGTGAAGAGATCCTTGGGGAGAGGAAGAGAAGAACAAGAATTGATCGTGCGGGGAGATGGGGAAGGTCTTATAGACGTCTGTCCCATCTTGGACGACAGAAGAACAGTCAATGCTTATCTCGCCAGAGTCTTGGCTCAAGTCACTCACTATCTGGGTTGAGAGAGATGGATTTCACCATCTCCAGCGGACCCCACATGGCCAAGAGCATTACCCAATTTTTCCTTCTCCGCGCTGCTGTTTCTCTGTTCCAAAGGCGGGGAGGCATTGGGATTGGGCATTCTGTGAGAGTCTTGGCGATGATACGAAACCTTGGTTTGTTGTTGTGTTGAACAGAGAACGACCCTTAGAGTATACGCCCCCCGGCCTTGTCCGAGGAGTCCACTCCGCCCCGGGGCAGGTCTGGGGTTCGGATTGGTGAGACGCAGCACACGGCGCCGTTCTGTACGGTAGGTTCAAGAGGGCTTGCTCGCCGTCGGCACGTCATTTGAAGATGGCTACCAAGCATCCTGTGACGCGGCG